ACCCAGACTTCACAGGACAATAGCACCCAGGTGGGTCCCTACCATCCAGGATTTGGCTTTTGGCCTTAGAGATCCAAAAAGTTCAACTATTAATTCTCCTAGAATGGATCAGAGTTTAGAGGACTGACTCAACTCAGACGAGGCTGATGTTTTTTATATCAAGCTCTTTGTATTGTGTCTCTAGCACCATCTACTGGGAAATAAAAGTGCCCTTGTTAGAATATTTAAAGTTGAAAGCTTCAGAAACCCAACTCAGGTAGCAAAGAGGAAGGAGAAGCTCACATTCTAAGAAACAGAAGATTCAGAATATTATACTCAAGTTACTTACACGTAGATGTAACCACTAAAACAAAAATAAAGCTTTCTACATTATCGGAAACACTCACAAACACAGGCCATATACGAAAATATTTTTAAAAAGCCACAATCAGAATTCATAAACACAGAAAACATACCATAAAATAACAGAACTAACACTTAGAAATATATGTCATATTAATGCCTTAGAGCTCCCCTATTAAACAAAGTCTCTCATATGAGATCATAAAGCAAAACGCAAGAGAATGTTGTGTACAAACCAAGTGACTCAGAAAGGTTGAAAATATGAAAACTCAAAAGCAAACCAAACAAATGAAAGCCAAAGTAGCTGGGGGTCTCAGTCGTAACATCAGTAAAGGCTGATTTCTGGACAAAAAGCATTAAATTACACAAGAGAAGACAACTTGTAATGATAAAACATGCAATGCACAATGAAGGTTCACAAAAAATGACCATATCTAAGCCCATAATGAAAACCTCAGGCAGTTACACAAAATGTAAGTAATACATTGACCTAGAAATTACTTAGAAATGCTTGACACTCTCCTAATAGTTCTTGGATCAAAATAGAAATGAAACTCCCAAACTAGGAATATCTAGAAAATACTAAATAATATAATTATATTATATATTGTGGAAATGTTGCATAATATTTTGGCATATATAATAAATAGAAATATAATATACATGTTATAATTCTATGTAATAGAAACTTCTACATGTAATATAAAGCATTGCTCAGAAGAAAGTTATAGCACTAAATACTTCTATTAATTTAAAAAATGTGAAAATAAATGAATTAGGCTTGTAATGCAAGTTATTTGAAAAAGAATAAAATTAACCCAAGAAAACAAAAGAAAAATTAATAAAAGCAGAAATTATTATTTAGAAAAGAGGAGGAAAATGTAATACTAATAAATTCAAGAGCTGCTTCATTAGAGGAAAAAAAGTCAATAAAGTAAATAAAGCATTAACCTATTTAACACACAAAATTAGAAATGAGCATAAGCAAACAACGCAGACAGATGAAATTGAAAGGATCATAAATTATTTCTTTTCTCAAGTCTTTACAAATAAATATGAGAGTCATATAGATGAAGTGGATTACTTTCTAGGAAAACATAAATTTGTAACTGCGACCCCCCCAAAAAATAATTTTAAATAAATTATCTTAGAAAAAATAGAGAAAAATATGAGTACATACCAAGTTATCTAATGAATACCTAGTAATAAATATAGCAACAACCTCCCAGATAAACTGAGTGAAAAGATTGAGGTGGAAACAGGCTAGTCTCTGTGTGTGTGTGTGTGTGTGTGTGTGTGTGTGTGTGCGCGCGCGCGCGCGCGCGTGCACACGCTTGGGTAGCCTTGTAGGATCTCTGGAAGTGTGCATAAAAAACAGATAACAGGCAACTGAATGTGCAGGGAACAAAGAATAGAGAAATTCTTTTTATTATATAGTATTTTGTACCTTTTACATTTGTTACCTTTTAAATTAATTAAATGTGCAAATATTACCTATTCAAAAATTCTTTTCTGTAAAAGTAGAAACAAGGCAAAGGAAACAAGCTCTTAAAGGATATTTTCAAAAGGAATGTTACTTAATTTTCCCTAAAGCTGGCTCTGGTAAAAGAGGATTCTTTTGTGTGCTTCTCAAATTCCCTTTTTGGACACTGGACTCAAGGGTGGTATCAGCCAGCTCCATGTCTCCCATGGGTGCTTTGGATCCCAGGCACCCTGGCAGCCCTCTGAACTCAAAGACCCCAGTTCTCATGCACCAGAAAGACTATATTTCTGAATTGCAGCTCTGAGTTAAGAAAAGGAAACCTTCATTTGCTCAAAGATAGGAGATTTGTGTTTTCTCTCAGTATTTAGGAACCCACAAAAGCAGAACCAGAACTTTAAGTGGTTAAAAGTCATTCCTCCTTGTACAGACTTAATCCTTCCAGTAGCAAAGTACATGTTCCTGATCTTTCTTAGCCTCCTAAGATTTCAGCCCCACTTTGCATGCTCTCTCTTCCTTAAAAATAGCAATTTTAAAGCAATTTTAGCGATCAAGTTCCTAAAACATCTCCTCCATCTGACCACATGAAAAGAAAAAGTAATTCTCAACCTAAAAGAGTATGTTAACCACCCAATGTCTGTACTTACTTTTAAAATATATGACATAGTTCTGGGACAAGAAAACTTCTAAAGAGAAAACTGTATCATCATGCAAGGCTCTAGAACAGAGCCCCTCTCCTCTTTCCTTCTCAAGAAGGCCAGAGGGCTTCGGCCTGCTCAGAGGAACCTGGGGTTCTTTGTAATTGGTGCAAGACCCGAAGATCTGGGGTTGAGGGGAGGGGGGCTCCTCACACCTAGGTGGGCCACGTTTTTTGGGAGTGGGCTGGCAGAGTGTACCTCTGCTGTGATCTATACCTAGGGTTTTCTAGCTGAGCTGCTCAGAGACTGTACTGGTTTCACTCTGGCTTTTATAGATGTATTTATAGTGTATGTGTGTGTGTGTTAAACTTCCTCCAATGATTTCTTCTGAAATAAGGAATTCTGCAGGAAGTGGGTGGGGTTGAAAGTCAGTGATTTAGTCCAACTTTTCTTCATTGTACTGATGAAAACACCCAGGCTCAAAGAAGTGATTTCATAATCTAACTTAATCTTTCTTTTCTCATCTGAGGCGTTCTGCCCTATTACACACACACACACACACACACACACACACACACACACACACTCCTATCACCTGTATTCAAGCTGTTTCTTCCACATCTTCAACCTTCCTCACCCACTCAACCTCATATGATCTCACCCCAAGCTGCAGCTCAACCACTTTCATCCATGAAATCTAAGTCCCTAAGCCCACACAGTCACACTGCCTGTCTTCTTTCTTACAGCTCTGCCACTCCTGGAGCACATTCTGTGATTATGAGTTGCTCATGTGTCCATTCCCTCCTCCAGACTGCAAGCAGGTTCTGTGTCTCATGGGTAGTGTCCTTGCCCATCAGCGTGCGTGGCATACAGCAATGTTAATTAACATTGATTGGGCAAAGTGTGGCAAAGGGAATGGCTCCTAGTCCATTGCTTTGGCTCTGATGTATTCCAAGAATGTGCCAACGGGGAAGAGTGAATGGTGCCGTAAAGTAACCAGTTTTGTCTCTGGGCTTCCTCACATTACCTGAGCTTTCTTAATGGAGCTAAATTCAAAATATTTGTGTACCCTGTGTGAAATGACTCGGCCTAGCATCTAGGGAAGAACAGACCTGAAAGTTAGGAAGAGAATGAGAGGCGATAAAGCAAAATGGCACAATTTTCAGAACAATGTAAAACCCATACTACAGCCTTTTGGCAAGCACATTTAGAGGGACTTTCTGTTGAGAAATGATCACTCTGCCTTCCATCTCTAGTTGAAATGACCCACAAAATAATCCTGATTTCTCTTTTTTGCCCTCAAAGTCCTGATTACTTGTTTAGTGGTTTTAGTAGAGGGTAGTATGTAGCAAACTATTTTGACATGTTTTATCACCTCTAAGATGCTCACTTGTAAGGTTCACCATTATTTACGTACCATGAAGGAAAACCTGTCAGTTAAACCATTACATGACTTCAGAGATTTTAAAATATGAAAGTGAGTATCTTAAATTGATGAAATATAGCATGTCAATATCACAGGTTATTGTTAGATAATATCGAATTATGTGGGTCTCGGTTTCCTCATCTGTTACATGAGCAGTTTGGACTGAATGAGCTCTGAGAACCCTTCTGGCCCCAATGCCCTTGAGTTCTGTAGCTCTATGAAGGAATGTTCTTGAGTGGGCACTGGTTGTGTGATGACCACCAAGACAGGCCTCCTGTCCATTTTTCTTCTATGCTTTGCCCTGTAAGAGTTGAGGGTCCTCACATTGCAGTGGCCTCCTTCAAGACTGACCTTTCATCCACATCATTGTGAAGAGGCTTCAAGATGTCCCATTTTGATAAGAACAAATATATTGCTCTTAGAGCTTGAGGAATCTGGCTCATACACACATAGTGCTGACTGACTGTAATACCTCCAAGACTCACTCCTGGAGACACAAAGCTTTCATTCAAAGGATTCAATCTAAAATTGGCAAATAGTTGAGTGGCCATACATCCCATTTTGCCCTGCACTGTCCCAATTAACTAATTTGTCCCAGCATTCTTATTAAGAGCCTCCACTACAGTGTAGAGTGTATCAACAGGCTGAGCAGGAAAGTGATTGGGAAAGGGTGGCTGCCAGTATTCTCCTGGCTAAAAATGGCCAAAAATGGTTTGAGAATCACTAACCTTAGGGACATTTATAGAGTCTGGTTAGCTACTGCCAGTTGCTAATGCTTGGTTATGAGCCTTGGACTATTTCAGCACTAAAGTGAGAAATGTCAACAAGGTGATTGACTCAGTGGTTGCGACAGCCATCACGTTTTATCCAGCTTAATGGAAATTCCACATTTCTTTTTTCACACTTGAATGCTTTTGAATGTTACAGCTACTGCATCTTGCAATCAATAGCATCTCACGATTAAGGAAATCCAATAATTAATTCTCCTCAGGATCTGGGCTCCCATCTCCTTTACAAATCGAAACGAAGCCTGAGAGAGTAGAACTAGTAGGTCTTCAGAACACCATACTTAATTTGGGCATTTATCGGCCTTTTACCTGCCTTTTCATACCAGGAGAAGTTGCACCAGTGCAAGGAACTGCATTCGACCTGAGGAAGCCAGTGGAGCTTGGAAAACACCTGCAGGAGTTCCACATCAATGGCTTTGACCACAATTTCTGTCTGATGAGATCTAAGGAAAAGCATTTTTGTGCACGGTAGGGACTTTTCACTTCCTGCCTCTGTAAGGAAGAAGAGACACCCACCCCTCTGTGAGGAGCTTTTCCTCTGGCCACATCAGTACCATTTACTATGCTACAGGGACCAAATACCACATCGCATGTCTTTTCAAAGCTTATGTTCCACCGGTGAGCTCTGTAGAATTTACCTCCCCTGCCCCCGCCACGCCGTTATCCCCGTTCCCCTGCCTGGCATCCCATCTCTCTTCGTTCCTACTCATCTCTGCCTGCTCTTTGAGGCCTGCTCTTTGAAGCCCATTTTTTGTTAAAAACCTTAATTCCTCCTAACTAAAGTCACTACCTTCTATGAATTTCCAGAGCCCTTGGTACTTTCTTGATTTGTGATTTTCGCCCTGCTTACTACTTCCATGGAAGGTTGGCGGCTGCATTTCTCTCAAAGCACTCCCACTCCACCCTCGTCTGATAGGCATTCGTGTGCACACTCCCTCCTTCTACCCCACCTCTACCCTAACACCTAATACTATGCTTGGCACTAGCAAATAATCAATAAAAGTGTGTAGAATGAATGGATTTTAAATGACACAGAGAAAAAGATTCGAGCTCTAATAGAGCACTTCAGAAGTCTTTCCCCTCAAAGGCCCAGCACCAAGACTCCAGCTGTGTTCTTCCAGCTCGAGCCCACTTTTCTCCTCTCTGCCTACTATTCACATTTCTCTCCCCATTGCTCCCACCTGAGGAGACCTCCTGCCTTCTTTCTGCTATTCAAATCCTGGCCCTCCTCCTCCCAAACATCTTTCCCTGAACTTCTTGGTTGACTACATATTGTGGGGATGTTTCACTTCTCGGCGAGACTGTGAGATCCGGGCCTTTCTTTATCTTTATCCCTTTGACACCAGATACAAGACCAGGTAAGTACTCACCTCTGTAGAGGCCTGGTTTGGGGAAAAAAAGGAAATAGTGAATCTAGCAGATCTGGGGTTTCTATAAGTGGAGAGCTGACTAAATAGCATACCCTGCTCTAGTCCCAGGGCAGGGGAGCGGGTAAAGAGGCATTTAATTTAGAAAAGCATCTCTTCAGTTTCAAAAGATGGAGCTGGTTGTTTCACCAGGCCAAGCAGAGAGCTCTGACCCTTTATGAGAAAGAATCTCAGCCCCTCTAAGACCCTAAAACTGCCTCTCTCCAACCTGGCTATTCCCAGCACACACGCACCCACACACACCTAGCTAGGGCGTTCTCACGGGTAAAGAGGCATTTAATTTAGAAAAGCATCTCTTCAGTTTCAAAAGATGGAGCTGGTTGTTTCACCAGGCCAAGCAGAGAGCTCTGACCCTTTATGAGAAAGAGTCTCAGCCCCTCTAGGACCCTAAAACTGCCTCTCTCCAACCTGGCTATTCCCAGCACACATGCACCCACACACACCTAGCTAGGGTGTTCTCAACACACACACACACCTACCTACCTACCTAGTAGGGTGAGTCTATTTTGTCCTTCCCCAGAGAAGTCAAGATCAAGTGGACACACACACACACACACCCCTACCTACCTACCTACTAGGGTGAGTCTATTTTGTTCTTCCCCAGAGAAGTCAAGATCAAGTGAGAAGTTGCTATTAAGGATCCTCAAAACCACCTGCTCATGCTTCACCTATGAGGTTACAAGAATTTCCCATGATGCTCTTCCTACCTTGTCTCCTCCATATATCTCGTCTCGGCTCTGGCTGGGTCCTATAGCACAGCTGCTTCCCAGCTTCTACCTGTCCCTGCCTGCTTTTCCTCCCTGGACCTATATGTGGTTTGGCTTCATCTCCAGGGTCCATCACGCTGGAAGTGGGCGGGTACTGGAAGTGTACACCACCCAGCCCGGCGTCCAGTTTTACACAGGCAACTCCCTGGACGGCTCACTGAAGGGCAAGAGTGGAGCCGTCTATCCCAAGCACTCCGGTTTCTGCCTCGAGACCCAGAACTGGCCTGATGCAGTCAATCAGGTAAAGCCACAGGCTGGCCTGTCAGAGTGGTGGTGTGTTCGAGGTTACACTATATGACAGAAGTCACAACACTCAAGTCAGGTCTGTATGATTCGAAAGTCCATGTGTGTTCTCTTCTCCAAGTAATGATGAACACAGCCAAGTTACTAACATGGCATTTACATGTTTTTTTAAATCTCTTATTTTGTACCTTCGAAGCCTTTATTCAATTTAACGTTTCTCTTTATCGATACCTACTCATTTGAAGATGATCCTTCACATCTTCGCTTCCTATGTGCTTTCTCATAACTTCCTTTTCTAGCTATTGTCTAGAGTAATGCTGTGCAAAGCACCAGCCTAAAAAGTGCTAACAGTTTGCACCAAAATGTAAATCAACACACTGCTTCCTTCAGCAAGAAAGTCTTGCTACGACAAAGTGTGCTTAGTAATGCCTTTGATTTTCATTCTGGCTCAACTTCTTTATCTCATTGCAAACCTTTAATAAACAGTTCATACACTGGCATCTGGTTCACAGAGCTAGTCTAGAGACCAGTCCAGAAGCCATCCTGGTGAAAGGTGCAACTTGGGCTGGCAAAGTGTAACCTGTGTTGTTTTCCCTTTCACAGCCCCACTTCCCTCCTGTGCTGCTGAGGCCTGGTGAGGAGTATGATCACACCACTTGGTTCAAGTTTTCTGTGGCTTAAGGAAGGGTGAAGACATGACCTGCTCCAGGGCCAGGCAGAGAGCCTCTTCAGCAGCCTGTCTCCTGTTTAGAAATGAGATGAAGATAATCAGTCTGAATATTGATTTCCTTTTCCAATGACTGGCTCTAGGTCTAATGACCAGCTCTATTCTCTGTGTAATTAAGAGGACCTAACCACTGATGTCATCGTCTAACCCCAGCCCAAAAATGTTTTCTAGGCCCCTTGTGTTATGTTGGCTCCATCTCTCCACACTGCCTCTTTCTTTTCTACTTTTCACCCCTCTGTTCTTTGAGTTGTTTTTATAATAAGCCAAGTCTAAAGTACCCCAAGGAGATTCCTTTTCTTTTCCCTCTTCCTCTACCTCAAACCATGCCAGCAGATGGACCTCACTGCCTTGACAAGGCAGATGATTGAGAAGTGAGGGAGTTGAGGCTTAAAGAGGGTAAATGACCCACCTAAAGGCACACAGCTAGGAAAAATTTTATCCAGGACTTGAGGTCAGTTCGTGTGACTTCGAGTCCTCTTTGCTTCTTCTTCCGTCTGCCAGAGCGTTCCTAGGGTTACTCATGGGCAAAGGGAGGCTGACCCTTACCTGTTAGAGCCATCCTTTCTTCCCAGATTTACTTTTATAAAAAGCATTAGTCTGAATTTGAGTTTAACTGTCTATGAGCCTGAGAAGTGGTATGACTTAAAATACAAGGACCAAAAAAAAAGTGCAAGGACACCATATTTAGAAAGAATCTGTCATTTCGACTCTTTGCCTTTGGAGTTAACTAAGAAAATCCAGCCTAGCCAAGGCACGGAAGAACGAATGCCACTGGAGACAGGAGCTGCATCAATGTGAGGAGAGGGCCCACCTGAGGATCACATATTGCACCAGGAGCAGATGTTGTGTTACGTAGATGAGGCTGGGGCTCCCTCTTTCCCTTGAATCATCAATGATGGGTTAATGTTGTAGAATTTTAAAGAAATGTACCTTAAATTACATACTAGCAATCAGCTGAAATAAAAATATTCTTGCTCCTTCAGAAGACTCCTAGTTTCTTCACTCATCTTTAAACCTGTCAGGCATGGACCTTTGGTCCACTTGGACCAAGTCTATGGTATGTTCTAGATTCTACTATGCTCTCCAATATGAGCCCCAGCATATTCCTAGAGGAAAGCTACCTGACAACCTATTGTGCTTCCCTTACTTCCTCTTTCTTAGCAACAAAAATAAACCATTTTTAAAATTCATTTCAGCATGGATTTTTTAAGTCATTTTTCATTTTTTAATTCATTTCAGCATGGATTTCCTGAATACTTGTTTTGTACATAGTTCTCTGCTGGGTCTTTTAAGGGATTCGAGATGTAATGTCTAAGATGAAGTATATTCCCTCAGGGATAATGCAGTCTCTCTGGGAGAGACAAAACTAACAGCAGCAATTAGATGATGTAGAACTGCACCATGACAGAGCTGGGGGCCCCGAACACTAACTTTGCTTCTGGCATTTTCTACATGGGCAAACTAATTTCGCCTGGCCTGTCTTCACCCTTGCAAGGCAGAGTACTTTGTTTTCCTCTGTTCTAAAAAAAAGAATTGTTTTTATAATAAGCCAAGTCTAAAGTACCCCAAGTAAGGAGATTCACCTTTAGGGCAGTTGAAAGAAGTTACTGATATTTTAATTGTGTTTATGGAAGATAATAAAGAGGCTAAGTTTGATTGTCAAGCCATAAATCTGATGAAAGTAAAATTTTAGAGAAATTGATCTTTTGTGGCAGCAACCAGTCTATCCTTTTTCATGAAACACACACATAAAAGAGAACTTTGATGTGCTAGAGAAAAGACCCACATAGTTTTGAGTCTGACAACATCTGAGCCTAACTGTAATATGTTATAATGAAATCACTGAAGGTGTCAGCAAGAAACAAAAGTTTACAGTCTAACAACTAGACACATTTGTTCATGTGAAGTAATAAAAACGAACATGATATTCAATATGAAAACGTCATATAACTGTAGAATTATTTCTTGTTGAAAATGCAAATATCCACTAAAATGCAACCCTCCCTCCTCAGGAATAAGTCTCCAGGCCCACAAGAGTCCATGCCTTCTTTACTATACACCTTCGCTACCCACAACCAGACTAGTGCTGTATTATTCTTAGTTCTGATCCTTCACAGGTGAGCATATCCTTGTTTCAGTTCAATGATCTGTGGATTCCTGTTTGTTTCAAATTCATAGGACATTAAGTTCTTATCATTAGCCGTGTGATTTTCATTTTTCCAATTTCTACTCATTTTGCCTAACGAGGTAAGATGTGTTATTAAACAATTGCAGACACATTGCTGTAAAGACTAAACTAAGATGGCATGCTATAGAGGTTGAATTGTTGAGATTGTTTAAGTGACCAGTGACAGTCCAACCTCAGAAGACTAAAGGAAGTTAGTGTCAGTGAATAAATGGATAGTTTGCAAAAACTAGAACATGAAAAAAATACAGAACTGCTAGCAGAAGACAGGAGGGAAGCACAGACTATACACTGTTCCCTAGCCAGTTCCCATTATCAGCTGTAATAATTGGATCACCAGTTTGCAATGGGCTACTTGGACAGTTTTGATAGGAGCACAATCCTTTTCCAATTGAGGCATTTATCTTCTCCCTCTAAGTTCCAACTTCAATTCAATTACTCAAATCATAATTAAAGTCTTAGATATTTTGGGTAGCACTTTAGTGATAGCAAATCCTCTCCTTAAAAAAAAAAAAAAATTATAATGCAGGAAAAAAATTGACAAAACAATTTTGGTGCTCTGGAAACTGACCAAAAACATACAACAACCTGAGATGTCTTTATGTTGAAAAAAATACTGAACTTTGGGTAAGAACAGTGGGAAATTGTGGTGTTTTAGCCTGGGGCTGCTCCCATTACCCTTATGCCTCCAGCTCAGTCACTATGGAGGTTCTGCCAAGGCGAAACAGAACATGAGGACCAGCAAGTTGCTGTGGTTGAACAGGATTTTACTCAGTTTGGATTGGTGATACCCTTGCCCAAAAGCTTTATCAATAGAAGTAATAATCTCGGTGCTAGGTGAGCACAGAGGGCCAATGGCTCCACTAGCCTGAAGTTACAATCATGGTTGGAGCAAAGCATATTTTTGGCTAATCAGGGACTACAAACATGCATAGGAATGACCGGAGAGGATCCAAGCTATTTACACACTCCTGGCCAACTCTGAGACTGCATGCATGTGCAGAGGGAATTAAGAGAGGCCCAGCAAAAAGTTAAAGCCAAGACAGACTTGGAAACAGCTTAAATACTAAATTCACCCCCTGCCCACACACAGATCAATCATCAAAGGGAATAAATCTAACTGGTTGAGATGTTTCATCACAAGTTCTGTCCAGTTAATTGCTGATCACTAAGCTATGCAAACAATAGGAAAACCCCCTAGAAAGCTGAGCTTAAAAATAAACATAAGAAAGTTTTTTAAAAATAATGAAAAACTGGAATAGAGATTATTAAAAAAAAAAAAAAAAAAGAACCAGGCAATATTCTGAGGCTGAAATGTACAATAACAAATGAAAAGTTTATACTAGAGAGACTCAGAAGCAGATTCAAGATGGCAGAAGAAATAAGTGAAACTGAAGATAGATCGATAGAAATTATTCAATCTGAAAAATAGCAAAAAAGAAACTTAAGAAATGGAAGAAAACCTCAGAGACTTGTGGGACAACATCAGGCACATCAACATATGTGTCATGGGAGTCCAAAAACGAGAAGAAAGGGATAGAAAAATATTTCAAAATATAATTTGGTTAAAGAAACCCCCCAGATTTGATGAAAACCATTCATCGATACATCCGAAAAGCTCAACAAATTTCAAGAAGGATAAATACAGAGCTCCACACTGAAATACATAATATAAATTGTTTAATGCCAAAAACAGAGAGAAAATTTGAAAGCAAGAAAAAAATGACATCACTACAGGTACCACCAATACAATTAACATCTGACTTCTCATCTCAAACAGTGGAATCCACGTGGAACTCCACGTGGGATGATGTAGTCAACGTGTTTAAATCCACGTGGGATGATATAGTCAACGTGTTTAAAACCTAAGGATTCTATATTACCCAAAAGTACCCTTCAAAAGTGAAAGTGGAATAAAAAACATTCCAAGATAAATAAAGAATGTAAGAATTAATTGCTAGTAGACCTGCCTTACAACAAATACTAGAAGAAGTTCTTCATGCTGAAAGGAAATTCAGATGGTAACTCGAATCCATGGAAAGCAATTAAGAATATCGGAAATGATAAATATGTGGGTTAATTAAAAAGTGTATTTTCAGGGAGTCTAGTAAAGATGGCGTAAAAGGTATATTCTGTGCTTGCCTCCTCTCACGACCACACAAAAATTACAGCAAAACTACAGAATAACCATCACTGGGAGTTGCCGGAGGGCTGGCTGAACAGAAGTCCTATAACTGGGGACTTACATAAGAGGTCACCTCAAGACTGGTAGGAAGGATGGAAATGCAAAACGGGCCAGTCCCACAATAGTGTGTGGCAGTCAAGAATCGGGAGGGTTAGAGCACCCCACCTTAGGAGCGAGGGGTCCCGACTCCACACCAGGCTCCCCAGCCCAGGGTTCTAATGCCAGGAAGAAAAATCCCCACAACCTCTGGCTGTGAAAACAAGCAGAGATTGTGGTTGAGTGAAACACAGGGTTGTGGGAGTCTCAGACATTCCTCTTAAAGGGCCCGCTCATGGACTTACTTGGTGATGGACTCACTGAGTCTGAGCTCCAACACTGCGGCAGCTGCTTGAAGAGTGCCAAGGACACGTGGGGAGGAACTGAATTGTCTGGATTCAGGGCGAGAGCTAGAGGAGCAGCTTTCAGCGGCATCCATTGTTCCTCTGTTGAGCCCTCCCTGCTCCTGGCATGCTGATACAGGTAGCTGCCATATCTGAGTCTCCATCAACCTGATTAACACAGGTCGCTCCGACCAGGTGAGTCCCTGAGACCCTGACTCTCCCAACTTGTGGACCCAATAAAGCTGCCTCCAGTGGTTTTTTCCATACTAATGGCCTGTCTTGGCTCATGCTGTGGATGTTCCTAAAATCTCTCAAAAGCTCACCATACCCAAAGAAGCAGCATCTGGCCTTTGCATGCCCTGTACCTCTTGCTGGCCTCGGTGCCTGGCTTGGCCTCATGAGGCTCCTATAAGCCCAGTACAGGTGGCAACCATTTACAGATTATTTGGTGATTCTTACCAGGTGGCCCAAAAGTGCATAGGCTGTGGCTGAACTTGGCCTGCAGCTGGGTCCCTTCCAAGAGGCCCTTGGGCTGACACACCCAGTGGTGCCAAAGCTGGAGTGCCACCCAGGGCAGCATCTGAGGAGGACACACCCGAAGGGCAGACTGGGCAGGCAACAGAGCCCTGCTAAACTGAATCCTGCTTCATAAGGTCAGCCCGTCACTGACCAGTCCTTACAACCAATCGGCCCAAGGGTCAATCCCATCAATGTGCAAACAGCAACCAAGGCTCAACTACAACAGGAAGGCACATACAACACACACAAGGGACACACCTGGCTCAGGTGACCAGGGAAGACTGTGCCACTGGGCCTCACAGGACACCTACTCCATAAAGCCACACTACTAAGACCAGGAGGCTTAGGAGCCCTATCTAATACATAGAAACAAACACAGGGAGGCAGTGAAAATGGGGAGACAAGGAAATATGTCCCACATGAAAGAACAAAACAAAACTCCAGAGTTTTGGAGAACACAATGGAGACAAGCAATCTACCAAATGCAAAGTTCAAAACACTGGTTATAAGGATGTAAAATGAACTTTGGGGAAGCGAAGATAAAATCAGTAAGAACTTCAACAAAGAGACAGAAAACATTAAAATGTATATAGAAAACATAAAAGGGAACCAGTCAGAAGTGAAGAATACAATATCTGAGATGAAGACTACATTAGAGGGAATCAACGGATTGGATGAAGCAGAAGATTGAATCAGTGATTCTGATTGGGTGGCAGAGGACACCCAATCAGAACAACAACAACAAAAAAGAATCCAAAAAAAATGAGGATAGTTTAAAGAGTCTCTGGGACAACATCAAGCATAGCAACATTTGCATTATAGGGGTACCAGAAGGAGAAGAGAGCAAGGAATTGAAAATCTATTTAAAGTAACAATGATGGAAAATTTCCCTAACCTGGTGAAGGAAATAGACATACAAGC